GTATATAAATTCACATAATATAATAAACAGTAACATCTTGTTTTCAAGACTCGATTAGGCTTTACACTTTCTGTGATTTTTAAATCATACGAGTCAATTATTATCTTTCATTATATAACATATAAATAACAGAACAATGTAATAGTTTCGTAACCCGGTCATATTATATGTATATATAAAATAAGATTATATAATAACAAGAAAGAAGGACGCACAAAGCAAAGCCTATCACGGTCAAAGCTAGATCAAGATGCTTATTATCATTATGTGTGAATTTATATATCGCGTATGTAGTTCTCTCAATCGCGTGCCGAACATTTTTTTCAGACTTACAACGCAACTCTAAATAACTACCGCAGTAATATCCCTTTAGTTAGATTGACAATCAATCTAACAAATTTCGATGCTTATAGCATCTTATTAGATCTTAATAATATGTTGAAAGACATATATTAAAATTTAATATTAAAGTAATGATAATTGAAAACTGTGAAAAATAAGATTGCGAAGAATATCACAAGTTGGCGTTTCGTCCCGGCTTCCACTACTGGACTCATCAGTAAGGTAATGTAGTGGGAGTCTACCTTAGACGCCGGTGTAAGTTATTAAATCGAGACTCTATATAAAGAGACATACGTGTATCTCAGCACTTGCGAGAAATTTAACGAATATCAATTGAATAGACCTCTGATGGCGAGTCGACGTAATAATATTCTTCGCAATATCTGTCTAGAGCCATCAGAGGTCTATTCAATTGATATTCGTTAAATTTCTCACAAGTGCTGAGATACACGTATGTCTCTTTATATTGTGGTGACCAAGTCACCACTATATCAGCCATAAAAACATAATAATGCATTAAATTAGAATAGGTAGATGCATTCAGGTACACGAACATATACTCGACCTATATAACGAGAAACAGCTGACGCGAATAAACACAGAGAGCCTTTAAATCCACAAACTTCTTGCGATCGTTTCTTTTCACAATAGCAATATGAGGCGAAAACAAGAAATCAAGGCTGAAGAAATCTGAGCTAGAGATGATAGATTATTTTTCCGCAATATACTTTCTGCATCATATTTTTATTAAATCTGTATGTGGTCATATAAGAGAAACGTAATTAGAAATGATTATCTTTCATTATATTGTAATTAGAAATATTGTAATATAAAATTTCGTATTGTAAATATAACGACGACGACCGATATGTTACACGCAAAATAATGACAATAAATAGAAATTGCGAGAAAGACGCGACGGACAGAAGCAAGCGTTAAAATTTGACAAAGATACAGTCGCTCAGCTGACGTGCGTCAAAACAGTCGTATCTCTTTGTATAGCGCATTGTATACCGAGAAACGGAAAGATCATATTATTCCACGAGCAGATTGTAAGCGAATTTGAAGTAGCGACTTATATGTGTATAAGTGCGACCATCGTAACTCACACGCGCTTGTAACTACAATTTGATTTAATATACTGATTATAATTCTGATTTGTAAATGATATATATTATTTTGGCGACCTTTTCCATTATCACGTCATTTCTTAAACTCGCGCTCTTTTATGACCGTAAACGCATTAACGGAGAGAGAGATATCTAAAAGTGGTGACTGTCCGACGTGTACGCGAGTGGAGGTGACAAAGTGACAGTAACAGACGAACTCCGAAATCCAGTCACGGACAGGGACAGTGAAGATTGAGAGTGCGTGAGTGCGAACGTGAGGATGAACGGAGAAGCGATGATGATCACACATGACGAAGACGCCCCAGCTCAGACGGTGGAACAGCAACGGATACAACTGGAGCAACAACGCCAGCAACTCGAACAAGAAAGGCGCGAGTTAGAGCGGCAAAGACGCGAATGGGCGCAGCAACCGGCAGCGTCAGGACTGCAGACAAGAATGAAGTTGCAGCCGAATCTTTTCGTACCTGGTGCAGAGGTGAGCCGTGTGGGCATGCGAATGCCCGAGTTTACTCCCGCGGATCCGGAGCTCTGGTTCAGCATCGTGGACCGGAGTTTCTTGGCTGCCGGTATCACGGTCGACGCGACAAAATTTGGATACGCGTTGATGGCGGTCCACGTTATACGATGGAGGTGCGCAATATAATAATGAACCCGCCCACGGAGCGTGCGTATGAGACTCTTAAAACCGAGCTCATTAAACGCCTCAGTTTATCGCAAGAACACAAAACGCGTAGACTGTTAGAACACGAGGAAATTGGAGACAGAAAACCGTCTCAATTTTTGCGTCATCTCCGAGGATTAGCCGGAAATGTAGTCGGAGACAAAGTGCTGCGTACGATCTGGTTGTCCCGATTGCCCGCATATATACAGCCGCACTTGATGACGCGCGCGGAGGACACCGTAGATCAATTGGCGGACATCGTGGACGCGATTGTGGAGGCTACCCGGGCGCCGGCTTTTCAGGTCGCAGAAAGTGCGCGATCTTCGATGTCGCGAACGGTCACGGAGGATGCAAGATCAATCGAGGCAAAAATAAATATACAAATTGCGCAGCTGCGATTGGCGTTGCAGCAGGAGATGGCGGAGCAGTTATCGGCTATCCGGACGTCTATCGAGTCGATTCGCGACGTGGGGCGCGGCCGGGACCGCGGCCGAAATCGCGGTGAGCGTGCCTGGCGCTCGCGTTTGCGTCCGCGCTTCCGCTCGCGGAATCGCGGACACGCTCCAGGAGGACCGTGTTATTACCACTGGCGATTCGGGACCGAGGCAACACGGTACGAACCACCTTGCTCGATGCAGCAAGCTGAAAACACGCCAGCCCTTCGTTAGCGGCGACGGACGACACAGGGCATTCAACGCGTTGCCTTTTCGTCGTCGATAGGAGCACCAGGGTGAGCTTCCTGGTCGACACGGGAGCGGATCTGTGTGTCTACCCGCGAAAGATGGTCCGAGGACCACGACAAAGGTCGACGTATGAATTATCGGCCGCAAATGAAACGATTATACATACCTACGGAACGGAAACGTTCATTTTAAATCTCGGATTGCGACGATCATTTACATGGCGTTTCGTAATCGCAGACGTAACGAAGCCCATCATCGGAGCGGATTTTTTAGCACATTACGGCATACTGGTAGATCTAAAAAATAATCGATTGGTGGATCAGTTGACGAATGTAACGGCAGCCGGACGTTGCGCGCAATGCAATATACCCAGCGTGAAAACGGTCAACGGAGCAACGCCGTACCACGAGTTGTTGACGCGTTATCCGGAGATTACCAGGCCAGAAGGACGACCAAGCGAAATAAAGCACGACACGAAGCATTACATCGAGACGACTCCCGGACCGCCCGTAGTATGCAAGCCACGAAGGTTGGCACCGGAGCGTTCAAAAATAGCAAAAAAGGAGTTCGAAAAGATGATGGAGGCCGGAATCGCGAGACCTTCAAGAAGCAGTTGGGCGTTGCCCTTGCACTTGGTGCAGAAAAAGAACGAGGAGTGGCGACCTTGCGGCGATTACCGCGCGTTGAACGCACGAACGATCCCGGATTGTTACCCCGTGCGACACATTCAAGATTTCGCTCAAGCGCTGCAAGGGAAAAAAATATTTACGAAGATCGACTTAGTGCGGGCATACCACCAAATCCCGGTAGCGGAGGCAGACATTCCGAAGACCGCGATTACCACGCCGTTCGGAATGTTCGAATTTCCCTTTATGTCGTTCGGATTGCGTAACGCGGCACAGACATTTCAGCGTTTTGTCGACGAGGTACTGCGCGGCCTCGAGTTTTGTTTCGCGTACATCGATGACATCCTCGTCGCGTCGTCATCGGCAGAAGAACATCTCGGACACTTGCGGATTCTGTTCGAACGGTTACAAACATATGGAGTCGTAATCAACCCGACAAAGTGCGTATTCGGGGAGCCGGAGGTTGAATTTCTCGGGTACCTGGTGACTGGTGCAGGAACGCGACCGTTGCCGGAGCGCGTGCGGGCGATTCGTGAATATCCGATTCCAAAGACAGTTAAAGACTTGCGACGGTACCTGGGGATGCTGAATTTTTATCGGAGGTTCTTGCCAGGGGCCGCGGAGACGTTGGCACCGCTAAACGATCTCCTTCAGGGTAGCGCGAAGGGCAAGGCACCGGTAAGTTGGACGCTGCAGGCGGAACAGGCGTTCGAGGCGTCAAAGGAGAGCCTGATGCAGGTGGCCTTGTTGGCGCACCCGAAGACCGGCGAGGAGCTAGCCTTGTTTACAGACGCGTCTGATCGTAGCGTTGGAGCAGCGTTACAACAGCGGAACGGAGACGGCTGGGAGCCGTTAGCATTTTTTTCAAAGAAGTTAAGCCCGGCAGAGAGTAAATATAGCGCGTTCGATCGAGAGCTGTTGGCAATATACCTGGCTACCAAATACTTTCGGCATTTGGTGGAAGCGCGGAAATTCGCGATATTCACGGACCACAAACCACTTGTGTTTGCGTTTCGTCAGAAGCCAGAGAAATGTACGCCGCGCCAGTTCCGACACCTAGATTTCATCGGGCAGTTCACGACGGATATTAGACACGTGGCTGGCGAGGAGAACCTGGTGGCGGACGCCTTATCCAGGATCGAGGAACTCCAGTCTCCAATGGACTACGCGACATTGGCAGCATCGCAGGAGGATGACGAAGAAATAAAAGAGTACATTCACAAGAAAGGAAATTTAAACTTAGAAAAAGTAGAAATACCAGGAACGGGAGTCGCGATTTATTGTGACAACATCGACGCCACGACCTTTTTTAACAAAGCCATTTCGACGAGCTGCCTTCGAAGGATTACACAACTTGGCGCATCCAGGAATGCGAGCGACGGTCAAACTCATGGCTCAACGCTATGTTTGGCCGTCGATTAAAAAAGATTGCCGTAGTTGGGCGCGGGCGTGCGAACCGTGCCAGAAAGTAAAAATTACAAGACACGTCACTGCACCAACGGGAGAATTCGCTTCGCCCTCTCGGAGATTCGAGCATGTGCACATAGATATAATTGTGATGCCAAGCTCGGACGGAAAGCGGTATTGTCTGACATGCATTGATCGTTTTTCGCGATGGCCAGAAGTGTTCCCTCTAGAAGACCAAGAAGCAGAAACGGTAGCAAGGGCATTTTACAGCGGATGGATTGCTCGTTTCGGGGTGCCGCTCCGGGTCACAACAGACCGCGGTCGGCAGTTTGAATCACGATTGTTTCAGCAACTGAACGAGTTGACAGGCACGAAGCATTTAAAGACCACCGCATACCACCCACAGGCCAACGGCATAGTCGAGAGGTTCCATCGGCAGTTGAAGGCGGCAATCAAATGCCATGGAGACGACCGATGGACAGAGGTGCTACCAACGGTATTATTGGGAATACGCGCAGCGTGGAAGGAGGACATGCAAGCGACGGCGGCCGATCTCGTCTATGGAGAGACGTTAAGGTTGCCAGGACAATTTTTAAAGCAACACCAACCGGAGGAGACAAACAGCGCTGCTGAATTTGTCAAGGAATTAAAACAACACTTTGATGATTTTCGTCCGATCAAAGGTACTCGCCATGGAGAGCGACGACCATTTGTATTCAAGGACTTGGCGACCACGAAGCAGGTGTTTGTTCGCCACGACGGACCAAGGGCAATCTTACAGGCACCTTACGATGGCCCTTACCCGGTGGTTAAACGCACTGACAAAATCTTTGTCGTGCGAATACACGGAAAGGATATTGCGGTTTCTATAGATCGAATAAAACCCGCATATATCATTTCAGATCCAACAGAGAACAACAAGCAGGTACAGCCAAGCAGAACAACCGGAGTACCGGACGAGAGCAGCAAAGCAGAGAACAAAAACACGAGGCGAAGCAAGGACACATCAGCCCCGCAGGAGCAAACGGTGACGAGAACGAAATCCGGCAGGAGAGTTTGTTTCCTGGACGGATTCCAAATCCAAGTTTGTTATTAACGCGTTACATCACGTATATACAAAAATGTATATATAAAAATAAAAATAAAAATAATAGTATAGAATAGTAACACAGAATGACAAAATGTAAAGTAGCTAATATATATTATATTCGTAGGAATTATGTGGTATTTATCGCGCTGTAAGTACAGCACTAGCAGGGGGGTACTGTGGTAACCAAGTCACCACTATATCAGCCATAAAAACATAATAATGCATTAAATTAGAATAGGTAGAGGCATTCAGGTACATGAACATATACTTGACCTATATAACGAGAAACAGCTGACGCGAATAAACACAGAGAGCCTTTAAATCCACAAACTTCTTGCGACCGTTTCTTTTCACCGGTTTAGCAATATGAGGCGAAAACAAGAAATCAAGGCTGAAGAAATCTGAGCTAGAGATGTACATAGATCATTTTTCCGCAATATACTTTCTGCATCATATTTTTATTAAATCTGTATATGGTCATATAAGAGAAACGTAATTAGAAATGATTATCTTTCATTATATTGTAATTAGAAATATTGTAATATAAAATTTCGTATTGTAAATATAACGACGACGACCGATATGTAACACGCAAAATAATGACAATAAATAAAAATTGCGAGAAAGACGCGACGGACAAAAGCAAGCGTTAAAATTTGACAAAGATACAGTCGCTCAGCTGACGTGCGTCAAAACAGTCGTATCTCTTTGTATAGCGCATTGTATACCGAGAAACGGGAAGATCATATTATTCCACGAGCAGATTGTAAGCGAATTTGAAGTAGCGACTTATATGTGTATAAGTGCGACCATCGTAACTCACATGCGCTTGTAACTACAATTTGATTTAATATACTGATTATAATTCTGATTTGTAAATGATATATATTATTTTGGCGACCTTTTCCATTATCACGTCATTTCTTAAACTCGCGCTCTTTTATGACCGTAAACGCATTAACGGAGAGAGAGATATCTAAAA